GCGGGGGGTAGTCGTTCAGGATCTCGGGTAAACGGCGTGGCTTATTTGATACGGGCGGTCAGCTGCGATGATGAGAAGAGCCTCCACAGTCTTTCCTTACAAAGCGTTTCCGGGGACCCTTGCGGGCCGAGGAGAGTGACAGGTTGCTAGGGGACTGAGCCCGTGCGCCCGTGTGTCGCCAGTGTGCGGGGCTCCCCGCAGGTTGGATCTGCGTGGATCTGACTTGCCCTGTGTGTGTGAGTGTGAGTATGTCTGAATGCAGAGTATATCCACGGGTCGTAAGCTTGGATCGTGCCATCAGTCGGTCCTGCAGGGAAGGAACCCGTGGCACCCTGTCCTACCTCCGGATTAAGGTGCTCGAAGCCTCGGAGCTCACCGGTGTCAGCCCCCTTCCTATACCTGCTGGACTTATCGGCAGCCAGGGCTGCACCGTGGGGAGCAGGTGATCCGGCTCACAACCCCCTCCCCCCACAGGGCCGGCCAAGGAGTGCGAAGAGGACCAGTTTCGGTGTCGGAACGACCGCTGCATCCCCTCGGTGTGGAGATGCGATGAGGACAACGACTGTTCAGACAACAGCGACGAGGACGACTGCCGTGAGTCGCGGCTATCAGGGGAAGGGGAGCCGTGGGGGGCGCCACGCTCCGCTGCGCACGTGGCTGCATCCGTCACCGGGGCACCTGCCCCAGGCTCACGGCCTTGTTCCCGACCCGGTGGCTCTTAGCTGTCGGCGGGAGCCGGGTGGCAGGCGTGTCCTGCTTAGGGTGGAGCCCAGCGCCGCGTGCTGGGACTACAGCTCGGAACTGTAGGCGGGGACGCGGCAGCCCCTGCGCACCGCTAACCTCCGTGGATCTGAACCCCAACCAGGGCCCAACTGGGCGCGCTCATTTTAAAGTTCCACGCAGTTCGGGCCGCGAGGGGCTCCTTCCCTGCTCGGTTTTATGAATGAATGGGCTCCCCGGGGCCCCTGATTGGCTGAGCAAGGACCACCCCATAGGCCCGTGGCCGGAGCGGCCAATCATGGGGCCGGCGGTGTGCTGTACCGGGCTCGCCTCTAGGCCCTGCCCTGGCCGCACCCCCAGCGCGCATCCTCCGCGTGGTAGGCTCAGGTCCTGGTTACAAACCGCTGCCTTTCTGTCGAGTCACCCTTCAGACAGCGTTCTGCTGCCAGCCCAGCCTGGCTGTGAGTCATGGGGCCACCAGCTAGGAGGGGCTCAGGAGGAAGAGTGTGTTTCCTGGAAGCGACGGGAGCAACAGCAGGGGAGGCAGGCCCTGCAGGCAAGGCAGTCCCTGTGCGAGCCGGCTGGCTGCCGTTGCTGGCTGAACGTGGCCTTTGCACACCCTAAGCAACTGATTGAAGTTCCTTCTTTCTGGGGCATGTATTCAGGTGGCTGTGAGGCCGCAACCGAATTAGCAGGCATTTTCCGCTGTAAAGGAATGGAATCCCTGGTACTGAGAACCCAGGCTCTTCTAGCCACATATACCTAAGAGGCCTTTCAGTTGTCATTACCGAGGCCTGCTGTGTGTCTGCTGGTATTGGGCATACAGGATAAGTCCAGCCCTCCCACCCCCAGTTTAGGAGCATGGTGTCAGAGCGGGAGGGCACCAGGTGGTATATGCCCAGGACTCAGGAAAGGTAGGCTGAATGACACTCCTACTTGGAAGCAGTCTGTTAAGGCCTTGGGTTTTTTTCTTTTCTTTATTATTTAACATTTGGGGGGGTGGTACATGCAAAAAGCATGCAGGTAAAGATAAGAGTACAACTTGTGGAAGTTGATTCTCTCCTACTTTGTGAGTTCTCTGTCTCAAATCCAGTATCCTGGGTCTTGACAGTGAATGCCTTCACCTGCCCAGTCTTATCACTAGCGTCTTTGAGTTCTTTTGACTGTTTGCCACTCAGCCTGACAGTTCACTCTGGAGTAGCCTAGGCTCTATGACTTGGGCATATTGAGCCTGACTGCTGGTTTCTCATTTGTGCTGTAACTGCTGCTGCCTTGGCAACATCTTAGGACTGATTTGAGGACTAGTGCTATTGATGTCACTGAAATCACTGAGACCCTCAAGAGCTGCAGTTAACTGGTGGGGTGCTAAAACTCTTCACAATGGTTTATGTTACAGATGAAAGCGGGCTCCTGGGGTTGAGTTACTTGCTCCAGGGCTACTGAGTTGGCCAAGTAGAAGACAGAACTTATGCATCTTCTACCAGAGTTCTTAGCCTAAAAATTCGAGAGGGAATCTCATGCCTGGGGTTTGTTCTGGTTTTCTTAGAGGGACACACAGAGGACAGGGTACAGAAATGGAAACCTTGTATCTTGTCCTCTTGGCTCTTGAAATCATTAGACTTGTGTGTGTGGTTGTGACGCTATCCTTGTCATTTGGCTTTATAGAGAGAAATACTGGCTCAGACAGATGGAGTGATTTGCCCAAGGTCACACAGCATGGGGTGGCAGAACTTGATCAAGATCTCTGTCTTCCCTGCCTATTAGCTCAGGGCATGAATTGCTGTGGTAAGGAGTGTGATGTGGACAGTAGGGCCTGTTACTTTTCGTAAGGATATGGGCATGATGAGCAGGGTGGCTGGTAATCTGAGACAGGACTAAGAGAGCTCTGACGTAGTCTGGAAGCTGCTTTTGTTTGAGATGGGTGAGGTGGAGTCCTAGCCAGTCCGTGGGCAGAAGCCCATGACGCCAGTGGTGTGGAGTGGAGAGTGTAGTGGCTTCTAGTAGCAGCAGATATTGGTTGCACACAGCCTGATCTTACTGAGCTAGCTCCCCATGCAGCCACCACGAAACCTGTCTCTCTGTCCTACATTAGAACATGGGAGTCTTCTCATAGGGCTGCCAAGAAGGGGAGGGGAAGGTATTTAGAAATTCTTCCCCACAGAGCTGGAAAAATCATTCAGCAGTTAACATACTTAGTGCCCTTGCAGAAGACCAGAGTTCGCTCCTAGCATCTATGTCCAGTGTCTCTCAACTGCCTGTAACTCCAGCTCCAGAACACACACACACACACACACACACACACACACACACACACACACACACACACACAGAGAGAGAGAGAGAGAGGCACTCTAAAGATACCCCATTCCAGGCCACCTGCCCAGACTCACTCCACTCTGGATACCTCCCTCTCAGTCCTACCCTCAAGAACCCCCCTGGTTGCTCAGCCTCTGTACCTTTCTAGGCTGTGGAATAGGGTGAGAGCAGTGGTTGTAATTTGTAAACAAGGTCAATATAGGCACAATGAATCCAAACTTCTGGTGTAGCCCATAGTGCTGGGGGCTGAAGGGAGGGAGGGAGATGAGGCAAGCTTCCTCTAGAAGGCTACTACTGAGCTCGGCCCTCGAAGAGTCCCTCAAGACTTTTCATCTTAAAATAAATGGCACGGGGCCGGTCATAGTGGTTCGTGCCTTTAGTCCCAGCACTTGGGAGGCAGAGGCAAGTGGATTTCTATGCGTTCAAGGCCAGCCTGGTTTACATAGTGAGACCCAGTCTCAACAAACAGACAAACACATATAATAGGTGGCACAGACCCCATGCTACAGAGGTCACCTATGCTAAGAGAGGTGACCTGACTCTCAAGTCATGCAGCTTGTCCTTGACTCTGGAAGTCACACTGAGGTCTTCTAAGTCTTGGTCCTTATCTGCAGGGAAGGCTCTTGGCCCACAGCTGGTGGGCTAGGGAAGGGAAGCTTACTGGGGCTTCAGTTCCCAAAGTGCCTTCAAAGCGGAGGAAGGGTCTGGCGCCCCAGGGCTCCAGCCAGGGGAAGTAGGGTGGGACTCCTGGCTGTGGACTCACATAGGCCTGGGTTTCCTGTTGCTTCCTGGTGTCTGGGAGCAAAGGTGGGGATTCTGGTCTCTGGCCAGGCCTTTGCTCCCAGACCATCAAACACAGCACCTATTCATACTTGCCATGCATTAGCCACTGAGGCCATGGACATCTTCTGGTGATTCTCCACTCTATAAGATGGTTGACCCTGTGAGCTTTGAGTCATTCTTACCTTGGAGAGGCTCAGAGGAGTAAGAACTGTGTATTTAAATGAAATTGCTTTGCTGTGCAGTTAGGCATGCAGCCATGGAGCCTGCAGTGGCCCCCCAGGCCTCCATTTCTCATCCTGAGATGATGTGTGAGGCTCCTTTCTCCTGACTGCCCCAGTGGAACGCTGGGCTGCTTTGTGGGAGATTGGGTACTCTGTACTCCCCTGCCTTCCCCTTGTCCTAGCTAGCTGCCATCGTCTATCCATCCCAGTCAGTGAAGAACAAGTACTGCTCAGCCTCCCAGGCTTCAGCCCACTAATTGGTCCGGCCCAGGCTACAGGAATCCAAGAGCTTGCTTGCTGGTGGTCTTATAGATGATGACAGCTTGGCTAAAGGTCCTGGCTTGTAATGTAGCCCACGGGGGCCTGCAGGGTGTAGCTGAGACACCAGGCTTCACTTCATTCCCCCCTTTGGATGGATGATGTCATTGATAGAGAGCTGTTCTCTGAACCTTGGTTTCCTTGTCTGACCAAGCTGTTCTCCCACTCAGCACCGTGAGGATGAAGCTAGCACAGTGGCCTCTTTGTTGGCCTTCCTTGTCAGGCCCTGTGCCCACTGCCCTCCAGCCTCTTTCTGCCTGTTCCTCTGAGCCTGGCTACCATCACAGCTCAGTCACCTTCCTTCTGTTTCTCACCTCCAGGCCTTTGTGTGTGCTGTCTGTCTTCCAGGACACTTCCCTCACATGCTCCATGCTTTTTGTTATCTTAGACAGTCGGGGGAAGGGTCACCTCCTCAAGGAGGCCTTCTTTGCCTGTCACTTAGGCTGAGATAAGGGACTTCGGGAACAGTGCTGAAATCCCAATGCTGTGCAGCCCTAGATCATATAACCCTAACCCTCCCCCCCCACCACACACACACACACTCCAGGTTGAATGGCCCTGGTGACAATAGTCCCTCCTTCCCAGAGATGTGGGGTTTAGTGACATCGTGAGTTAGGTGAGCAGGAGGCCATTGAGAAGTGACAGTGTAGCATGGTGGGAGAACTTGGCTGAGCACCTCAAAGGCTGCTGCTATAGCAGGCCACCCAAGATCTGCTCCAGGACACAAGTTCCTGAAGACTACAGCAGGGTATGTGGCTTCCAGCAGTGAGTGTGGCTTCAGGCAGTAGATGGTCCAGCCATAGTGGAGAAGGCTCCAAGATGACCTGGAGATGGCAGAGAGAATCTAAAGAAGGGCTAGGGAAGAAATGAATCTAACATACCTGGCTTGTCTCTGAAGTAATCTGGGGCTGGGAAGGGCAGGTCCTGGGTGACCAGCCTCCTGTTTCTTTCCTCCTAGCTGTATCTGCTACCACTGTTGGCACTGCCCACAGGCTTCAAGCCTGCCTTGCCGTGGACCCAGGTCTGTGCCACTGAACTATCCCAACAGGCCTTGGGAATGCTGCTGAAGGCTCTCCCTTGGGCCTTCGATGGGTCCTCCTGGTTAGTCCCCTGAGTTTCTGAGGCTGCAGCTGGCTCATGGCTGGTGGCATCTTCCTCCCTCACTGCCTATAGGCTGCTGACTTGACATCTTTCCTCTTTGGGGAATGAGGTAGCAGGTGAAGCCCACGGGACCCT